TAGCAGCTGGAGCCCTTGATCAATGCTCCCTCTATAGGTGGGGGTCCGTGAGGCACATTTTCATAACTGCCACAGCTTCAATTTCATTCAATTCTCCAAACTACCCTATGAGCTGGCAATGTAAATTGATTTGGTTGAATGCATAAAGCTGTCCTAAAGGAAACATGTTATGTCCCATTGTAGTTTCAAGGCAGGGCAGCACTAGGGCTGGTTCATTCTATAGCAATCCAGTCAAGTATCCAGCATCCTTCTATCTTCTTGCTCTACCGTCCCGAGCCTCCTGATTAGCTCTTTGCATAGGTGTCAGCTGCCTTCAGCAGTTCCAATTCCTACAACAAGATCTAACCCTGTCCAGGGCAGAGGAGAGGCTGTCCCCCTTTGTCTATTTCCTAGAAGCTCCTAACACACACCTTCTCAAATCTCATTGGTCAGAATTGGCTCAGGGGTGGTCTCTTCCTAAAAGAATCACCAGCACGAAGAACGGGATTTTCATAATAGGCTTAGTCTAAGTACGATTCTACCGAGGGACTGGGGCCAGCCTATCCAGAAACATAGGGTCACTTTGAGGATGATTCTGCCAACAAACTCAGGGGTTTGTCAACCAAGTGGAAAAGGGAACCAGTGGGTCTTGGATTGGTGTCACAGGCTGGGTTCTCTGAGAAGCAGACCTTGAGATGGAGTTTAGCGTGCAAGAGGTTTTTTAGGGGGTGCTCTTGGGGTCAAAAATTGTGGAGGAGAAGGAAAGGAAGCAGGATGGGCAGAAGGAGGAATTGGGCTGTAATGCAGTCTTAAAGAAGATTTTAGCTGATCCCACAGAGATCTTTATATTAATTACAAACTTAGCAGCTTCAAGTAGCACACATTTAGCATCTCACCTTTTCGGCAGGTCAGGAGTCCAGGCAAAATTTCTCTTGTCCTCTGATTCAGGGTTTCTCACAGAGCTGCAATGAAGGGGCTGGACCTGGCTGGAGTCTCACCTGAAGGCTCGACTGGGGAAGGACCTATTTCTAAGCCCCACATGGGTGTTGGCAGAATTCAGTTTCTTGGCGGTTGTAGAAATGGTGGCCTCAGTGTCTTGCTGGTTGTTGGCAGGAGGCCTCCATAAAAAGGCCACTTGCTTCATTAAAGCCAGCAAAGGAGAAAGAGTCTGCTAAGAAGACAGACAATGGGGCTGGCCAAGTGGCTCAGTTGGTTAAGAGTTGGCTTAAGAGCGTGAGCTCTGAGCAACAGGGCTGCCAGTTCAATTCCCACATGGGCCAGTGACGCTGCGCCCAAGATGAGCTGCTGCTGAGCTGCCAACATGTGGCAGGGTGGCTCAGCTGGTGTAACAACAAGATTGCCTGTTCGATGGTGGGCTACGCTTGCCCACAATTAAGACTGAACTTGGCACCTTGAACTTAGAGGCCACGAGCTGCTGACGGGAAGCTAGATGGTGACTGGCGCCCTCCACAACGAAGATTGAAGAACAACTACTTGGCATGTCCCCTTCCCCCATTTCCCAATAAAATTTAAAAAAAAAAAAAGAAAAAAGAAAAAAGAAAAAAGAAAAAGACAGACATTACTATCTTATGTGATGTAATCACAGAAGTGACATTCTGTGACCTTCGCCATGTTCAGTTGTTAGAAGCAGCAAGTCACAGGTTCTACCCGTTCTCATAGGGAGGGGATTATATTGGGTTGTCGGAAAAGTCATGACGTATTTTTTTCTGTTTTTTGTTGTAAAAATGTGTCATGACTTTTCCGACAACCCAATATTAATACAAGGACATGAGCATCGAGAGGCAGGGATAATGGGGGGGAGCATCTTAGAGTCTGTCCACCACAAACTCTGAAGCTGGGATGATGCTTCAGTGTTGTCCCAAGTAGGGTCAGGGGGTGTCAGACCTTTATACCTCCCCCATTCACCTGTCATTGGATGTAGGCTGTCCCAGGAAAGGGTGTGACCTGGATGAGGTGATTTTCTGCTGACGAGGCAATTTCTGACAGCTGAGGGCTCTCAGTTGCCAATCCTTCCAGTGGGGAGTTGGTCCTTCAGTCTTGAATGCGGGGGTCTAGGAGCCACAGCTACACAGTATGCAGCCCACAGGATCTGTTACACACATTATCCCTGTTTATAGATGAGGAAGTGAAAGTGAAGCCCACGTCCACACATTAGTAAGTAATTAATCATATTCTAACCCGAGCCTACCTGACTCCAGAGCCCATGTGCTTAACCACTGCTTTATGACTCCCCGATGGAATTTACAGTCTAATTGTGGGGCAAACTGATAGTCAATTTGCAATAAGCTAGGGATATTCCCAATGGGCGATTCTTCTTGCCATCAGACATACAGACTGCTAATCACAGCCGCTGTGGCATTTACAAGTAAAGTTGGGGCATGGGAGGTGGTACATCAGTGGGTTGTAGTCATATTTCACAAGCTGGTGGACTTTCCTGAACCTAATTGTACTGCTCAGGGTAGGCTAGGTAATGCTGCAGTGACAAACCCCCCAAACTCAGCGGCTTCAACAGTCTCACTTTCAAACACAGTCTAATATGCCTTGGGCAGCCATCTTTGGCTGTTCTCCTCCAAGTGGTGGCTCAGTGATCCAGGCTCCCTCCATCTTAAGCAAATAGCATCCTAAGTCATCGAGGAAAGAGCAGAAGATTATAGATGTTGCGCAGGGAGTCTCATGGCTAAGCCTGGAAGACGTGGATATACTTCTGTCTCCCTCTCATTGGCCAGGACCTGGTCACATGTCTTCGACCTCGCAAGGGATCCTGGGAAATAAAAGATTGCAATGGAATTTTATGAACCCAGCATTTTCTCTACCACACCCACCAACATGTCCAAAAAGGGGGCAGATAACCATGAATGGACTCTCTGAAACTAACTACTATTTACAGTTGGGTTTGGGAGACCCAACACTTTTCCCTTCAAGCCTCAGCTTTGGGGTTTCCATCCTGCCTGTGGAATATTTGCTGGTAGAAAAATCAAGTGGCTCATATTTACCAGGCCTAGGGTGTTGATAAACACCATCATCTTAGGCCTCCAGAGTCCGTTTGACCCTCTCCCGGGTTTCTTGAAGCTCTCTGCAGTCTTTGTTGATCCTGGGGGTCTCAAGGCTGAACCAAGAGACCCTGAGAAGAGAGAGAGGCTATCTGGCTTTAAACTGTTCCCAGACGAGGGGGCTCTTAACGCCTAAGCCTTGAGGGGAGAGACACTTGCCTTGAGAGACTGCCTGAGCCCACACCTGGAAGAGATTGATTGAGAGACAGTTAATATGGCTGCGTGATTTATGAGGAGGAGATATTGTAGCCAAGGTGCGTGGGGCAGGGGGGGGGGTGGGCAGGGTGAGTACAGGCGATGTTAGGTGCTTACTGCTGGGTCAGGAAACACTTGATAAGGTTCCACAGCAGAGCTCATTGCTGAAGGAGGAGGGGGGAAGGGCCAGACAGCCAGTGCTGGGAGAGCTGGCTCCAAACCCAAGTGCGGAGGAGCCTGGGGGGGTGCGGAGGGCTTCTCCCATACATGCTGGTTTCGGTGGGACCCAGGGCTCAGACTTGCTGCCTTGCATTCATCATGTGGATGAATGGTCCCACGTGAAATATCCAACCTGTCAGGAGCCCTCCGTGCTTGCTGGCGTCCATTGCTTCAGTTTCAGCTCACGTCCATCCAAGCGTCTACTTGGTGCCAAGTGCTTAATGCACACACGTGTCTGAAACCAGACATCGCTGGGAGAGTCAGTGTTCCTCCAGCTTGCTGATCTCTGAACCTCGCTCTCTTTTTCTGAATTAATAAGAACACTCTCTTCCAGGAGCTTAGCTGGTCCTTGTGCCCTTTTGGACATACGCATATTGGCGATTGCTTGTGAATTTTATGTCTCTACCTCAAGTTCCCATCTGTAAAGTGGGGATTAGTAAGTCTTCTTTGCTTGCCTCACTTGTAAGAATGCAAGTGTTATACTAATTTCATGCTTAATATCAAGGATTTTAGAGCTAAACGCACATGCGTTGGAGTTTCGGCTCCACTCCCTACTAGCTGTGCAGCCTTGAGCAAGTTACTTAACCTCTCTGAGAGAGTCTCGGCTTACTCAACTATGAAATGAGTGATAGCGCCCTCTGAATGTCATTAGGCATTAATAGGATGATATAGGTAAGGGGCCTACCTCAGGGGCTGCTGCACACCATGAGCTTTACAAATGAGCCATCAAATAATGACTACTGATGATACTAGTATTACACATGGATAAAGGGCATGCACACACAAGTGTTTCCAAACATAAGCAATTGTCACCCCTGCTTGTTGCCAACTGTTACCCAAAGATCATGCCCAGCTCTGCCAAAGAGAAAAGTTCTAGAATTTCCACAAACTGTTGTTAATGCTTCTTTTAGCCGGTTTTGCACATCTTAGCCAAACTCCCATCAACCAGTTGGAGCCTGAATAAATAAGTGCATATTTAGTTTCTATTGTCTGGAGAGTATCCCTCTGGAAAGCGCCATTGTGTATATCGTTATAGGTCAGTGAAGGAGACATTTAAATAAGCAAACGGATGAAAGTATTGTCTGATAAGGGCACCTGAGGGAGCCAGTACAGTTGGGAATGGAGGAAACCCTGAAAAGAGTGATTGGAAAATCACTTTCTGGAAAGATCCAGGAAGGAATTCCAGGAGGTTGTGACATTAGAGCTGGATTTGTAAGGATAATAGGAAGCTGGCAGGCACTTTTTAAGATTCCTGCTTATTGAAACTTTTCTGTCCGTTGATGGGTAGAATGCCTATAAAATTTCTTGGCTGACAGCATCGTTTATGCCTTCAGGGAGGACTGTAGTGTATCCAGAAAGACCTAAGTGCTGGGAAGTGTGGGTGATGGAAAGAAGGTGGAGTAACTGAAATTATGAGATAGATTTTCTTTGCACAAACTCTGTAGTGGTCCTTTTGCAGTTTTTACTATCCCACATTCATTTCCTCTTTTTTTCTGGTAAAATTCCCTCAATTTTCCTTTACAGACCTGCCTATTCTTTACTCTCATTGTGTTTTAGGTGGAGTTGACCGTACTCATTAGCTCCTAGGGTGTAGATAGAGCTACCCCAAGCCTGGCCAATCAGAGGATTCCATTCCCTAGTGAAATTCACAGTGATTGGTTTAGAAATGGTCATGTGACTTTAAAACAGGTCAATGAGACTCAGCCTTGGTACTTTTGCTGATGCTGTTGGGAAAGGGAGGCTCTCTCTTGCTGCAGGTTTTGAAGTTGGGTGGATGTGTAAGCCTGAAGTTCCAGGAGGCCACCGTGGGAAGAAGGCAGGACTGGGAACAGAATTAACAGGGAAGAGAACAGAGCTGAGCAAAAAGAGAGAGAGAGCGAGAGACCAAGTTCTGAGGACGTCAACACGCTCTGACTTTTTGGATACTTGAGGTACACTTCTCCCATGTTGCTTAAGCGACTTTGACTTGAATTTCTGTTGCTTGCAGTCCCAGCCATCCTAAAAAAGACACCATTTATTCTGTAGCTATTGAGTCTGCCCACATGCACGGCACTGAGGATCCTATGGTGTTGAGGAGACGATGGGTTCATTTTGCAGGGCTGACTCTGAGAGGGAGATGAGGGTACGGGACATGTATTGGCCCTTGGGACCAACAGCTATGGAAAGAGAGGGACGGGAACAATATTAGGCAGTGAGAGACATGGAGCTGGGATGTGGTTACAACAAGGCCAAGGCTAACCCCACGGGAAGTGCTGAAACGGGGATGGCCCTTTCGAGTTGTCCTGAGTTGCAAGAAGGAGGCCAGCATGGACCAGTTGCTGGGTGTGGGCTGCCCTAAGGAGGGGGTGCGACCTTGGGAGAAAGGGCTTCCTTCCGCCAAGGGCAATTTTCAGAGAGGCTGTCAGCTAAGAGCCATCAGCTGGCAACACTCCTGGCAGGTGAGGAAACAAATCCTTTAGTCCTGAGGGAGGATCTGGGCGGCACAGCACAGCCACCATCACAAGGTGGCTCCGGCTCTTAGTTGCCCACCATTCAAGGTCATGTCTTTTTAGTATGGCGTGCCCTGAACGCTCAGCTTTGCACATTCTGTAAATGTCTGCCACTGTCAGTTGGATGGAGGAGAAAGAACACCAGAGGAAGCAGAGACCCCACAGGCCAGACAAGGACTCGAGAATCTTGGGCTCCGGCGGGAGGTGGAATCATGTGCTCGGAAGGAAAAGATAGACGCTTATTGCACTGAGGCCCCCTGAGGGCCAACTTCTGTCCCGCTTGTTCATGGAGCTATTCCCAGCCCCTAGCCCTGGGGCTGGCACATAGTAGGTGCTCAAGAATTATGTGCAACCTTGACTGAGTCCTCTCCCCTACGCTCTCACAGTTAACCCTCATAATGGACCTAATAGGTAATTGATTTGCTGGGTCTTTTTTTGCACACAGTAAAAGAAAAGCTTAACGAGATAGGTGGCAGGTCAGAATTTGAGCCCCTATCTGTTTGACTTCAAAGCTGTTGTTCTTGCTGCTCTGTCATATGCAAGCCCATTTTAGGCCCTTCTGCAAGGAAAGAAACAAGCATTCGAGAATAAGGGTTTAAGACTAGAAACAGAAATGGGGCTATCATAGTGCAAGTTTGGGGGTCCAAGTGCTCAGTTTTCCGCGAGGTGGGAATCAGACAGGCCGAGACCAAAAACATTCATTTAAAAACATTTACTTATTCAGCATCTATGAAAAAGGATATGTCGAAAATGAAAACATTTTATAACCATACATTTTAAACATGAAACCATGTCTTAATAACACATTTAAAAACATTAGAATAGCTAATAGTACATTTATACAGATTAAAACACTTAGTAAGAACACATTTAAGATGTTAAAACGTTTAGTGACAATAGTAATTAATATAATTACTGAGCTTGGCCTAGACTATACACAGCTGTCTTATTTAATCCTCACATTGATTCTATGAGACAAGTTCTATTATGATCCTCATTTACTGACGCGGAAGCTGCGCTTTAGAGAGCACAAGTAAACTGTCAAAAATCACACATGAGTGATGGGGTTTAAACCCAGGGAGTCAGACGCCCCAGCTCTGCTCTATCTCATGAGGGGAGAAAAGCCAAATGAAACCGTGCTCTTTCTTTCCAGGAACTCAGACAGGAGACCTGACTGCCCAGGAGAGACAGAGAAAAGGGCCCTGGTGGGGTGTGAGGGTGTGGGGAGGGTCCCGGAAGCTCACAGGACTGCTGGCATGTCTGTTTTGCTTTGCTTTCACCAGCCTTTCCTCTCCTCCAACAGCCAAATGGGTACTCATCTTCCATCTCACATCCGGCCAGTTATTCATTTGCTGATTTCACTCATTCAACGAATCCTGTTTTCATGCCAAGTATCGTTATAAATTCTGGAAAGACAGACGTGAACAAGACAGACAAGGAACCTGCCTTCTTGTGGCTTGTATTCTAGTGGGGGAACGCTGGCAACAAGCCATCAAATGACTTACAAAGAAGGTAATTTCTCATAGTAAAAAGGAAATGAAGTGGGTGATGTAACAGAGCATCCCTGGGTGGAACCTACTCTAGGTCAGGTGGTCAGGGAAGGCTTCTCAGAGGAGGTGACAAGTGGGTTGAGATTTGATGGCTGAGAATGAGGCCCCAACAGGAAGGTCTAGGGGAGTCTTCTGGCTGCTGGACTGCTCACTGCCAGGTCTCCCTTGTCGGAGAGAAACATCAAGGAATCAGGCTTCTAGCCTCAAGCTGAGCAGAATAAAGGTAGAGACTACTGACCAGCCCAGGAGCACGGGGAACTGAGTCCGCCCAGCAGGAGCTCTGGGGAGCTCTTTCCAGCTGGGCATTAGAGGCACTGACGGCTAGTTCTTCTGGAGGTCAGCTTATAGCTTCTCAGAGGACCTTGGGGACATGTCCATTCTGAAGCCAAGGCTGGAGGCAGCCCGTGCCCACCCTCCACTGGTGCTAAGAGAATTAACTCACCAGTCACTCATCCCGGGGTTTTTCACAGCGGGACAGCTAAACTGGGCGGGATCCCAAGAGAGCTATCCCCAGCTTTTCCTTGCCTCCAGATAATGGAGACAGCTGCTCTAAAACCAATTTGCCTGCTCTGTTTTTATAGGAGAATGAGTTTGCTCATGGCTCCAAGGGACTGGAAGCTCACGAAAAGGCGCAGATGTTGTGTTATTAGTTCTTGGGTAAGGCTGACAGTAACACTCATTGAATCCTGGTTACCGCCTGTTTGGGCCGCGGGGGCTGGTAGTTACTAGGGTAATCTGATCGTATAATAAAAATAATAGAAGGAAAAGGCAAACCCATCTCGCCCAGCGGCTCTGGTCTCACTGCATGGGTTTTTCTGATTGGATCCTTGATCACTATGGGAACAGCCTCTGGGTGGTGGTTTGTTGGGGGGTGATTAAGGCTTTGGGTCCAACTGACCTCGGTTCAAATCCCGGCTCCACCTGTTACTCTCATACAACCTTGATTGGGTTTATACAACCTGCCTGAACTTCAGTTTTCTCATCTGAGAAATGGGGACGATAGTGCTGACCTACCTCTCACAGGGTTATTAAACCCTTAGCACAGTGCCTCGAACATACTAAGTGAACCCTCTGTAACTGTGAGCTGTTACTCTTGATATTATTATTATTATTTTATTATTTTGTTTGGCTTGATATTATTATTAATGGTAGTAATAGTCTTATTAGTAGTACTCATCATTAGTAAAGTAGGTTATGCCATATTTCCAGATGTGGAAACTGAGGCACTGAACAATAATAAGGTAACTGGCTTTAGTCAACCTTTCTCATCTTCCCTGTCTATAATGGGCTTTACAAACCCAAAGAGTGGAATTTTAAAAGTCTTCCCATAAATAAATGGGAAGAAAGCAATCTTTTGGCCCTGGAAACTTCCTAGGCTAGGATAAGCAAGAAAGATATTTACGACGCAGCCCCCATAGAGGGGATATTGTTCTGGACGGACCAAAAGGGCACATCTAAAACGCTTTCACATTTTTTTTTTCCTGGGGCTGTCTTTTTCATAAAGAAAGATCTTATTGCTCCACATAGGGGCCACTGGGATAATTCCAGGTGGTAGCATGGCTCTGGGAAAACCCCAGGAGAATGTTTCAATCGAGGAAGGATTTGCAGGGTGGGGGTGGGGGCGCTGGGGAAGCAAGATGAATGACCTACTCTGGTTTGCCAGGAAAGGAGCGAAAAACATAAAAATGGAGTTAAGTTCAGTGAGGGACTTAGCCAGGGGCCTTTTGGGGACGTAGTTAATAACAGCAACAGCAATAAAGGTTGGCAATCATGGAGCACCTACTATGTGCTCTGGTCGCATCCGCGCTTGATTGTAGCATGCCCATTTGATCATTAAAGCATCCCGGCAAGAAAGATACCAATTTCCTATTTTACAGCTGAGCCAAGCGTGGAGTAGACAAGTGAAGTCATTCTCCATGGAGCCCTGGATTCCAATTCGAGCCTGGCTGACGGTGGCTTTTCTAACCCATTTCTCTCCCCGCCCCCGCTATCATATTGCCAAGCCAGGATAATGAATGTGGAGTGGGGAGCTGTAACCCGAAAACAGGGAGGATGGCCTTACAGGGGGATGGTGGGCGTTCGACTTATCCTAATGTGTTGCCCTCCCCCTTCTAGCTGGAGAAATTCTGGCCTCTGCAATAGCCCTCCCTCCTTGTCAGGAGGCCAGAGGCTGGAGCGTTCCCTGCAACTTTCTCCTCCCAGCACCCACACACCCACGAGTCACTTCCAAGGGTGGGGAAGCCTTTGAAGTCCGTGGTGACGTCATGGAAGGCGAAGGCGTCAAGGAGCTACAGGAGAGGTGAACACGAGGCCAGCAGATAAGCAACCTAAACAACCCTAAGCATCCTCCCCAGTCGCAGAATGAGGAATTTCCTACAGCAGGTCCTCGCGCGGCGGGGTGGGGGTGGGGTGGGTTTGTTTCCTTAGTCTAGTTTTTAGAGCTATGAAGGATGAGGTTCCCAAAGGCAGCTAAGTCAGAAACGGAAGGGAGTATGAGCTCAGCAGTTGTCTAGGAGCCTTCCCCAGAGTTAGCGCTCTGGGCTCTCTGGTCCCTGAGACTGACTTACTTGTAGCTTCTTTTCTGTGTGCCTCCATCTTGGAAAAAATCAACCTGGGGCCACAGAGGTCTGGGCAAAGTGCATTTTGTGTGATTGTGCGTTTTTCTCTTGAGAGTATCCACAGTTTGTATCAGGGCCTCTGTGCTCCCTCCCTAAAAAAAAGGCATGAAAAAAAAATGCAAGCAAGTACGGAATGGGTAGACAACCACACCTCTATTTTTGTTAATAATATTCATCTATTGTCTCAGGTGGAGTTCCCCCAGAAAGCAGACCCAGAGACGAGGATCTGAGTGCCAGTCATTTTTGTTTTGTTCTGCTTTTGGAGGTGATCCCAGGAAGCACCCTTAAGTAGAGACATTTGCAAGAAAAGCAACCAATTCAGACCATGTTCATGAGCAGGTTGTTGCTGTGGAAAATTGAGGCTCAGTCCTTCTGGGGACATCTCTCAGAGCGTGTCTTGGAGTTGTCCCACCTGGGGGACCGGAAGCTGGAGTATCTTTCCTCCAACTTCAGTCTATCATTATTTGAGGGCCACTCCCGGATACGTCAGCTCCCCGGACTGCTGATCTACCCTGTGTGCTAAGGCCAGGGGGAGCTCTCGGGTGCGGAGATGCAAATGCTTGTGCTAGGAAGCCATCAGCATACAAAAGAAGGGTGTGTGCTGAGAGCATATGGGTGAACTCCCCACAGGGTTGCCTACATCCATAAATTCACATTTACTTGTTTCATCGCCGAGTGCAATTTCTACTTACAGGAGACACAGCTCTAAAGATGACAACCTTGGATTTCATAGTAAATTAGGAACAGGGCTCATGTAATATTAATAATCTAAGGATGTACATACATGCTGTGGGTTTATAGGTGAGCTTCTGGGCTAAAGCGTCATAAAACATTTCATTGCATTGAAAATAAGTGGGCAAATGTCACCGAAGAATGAAAGGAAATATGAAATCAAGGAACGTTAAAGTCAAATGACATTTCCATAGCTACCCTAAAAAGGATTCAGATCGTTCAAGACCTAGGCCTGACACCTAGGCTTGTGTGACCCCCAACAAGTTGCTTAATCTCTGAACGTCAGCTTTTGTCTTTTTTTGTTGTTGTTGTTGTTAACCTGTCAAATGATGTGAATACCTATCACATATAGCTGTCATGAGAACTAAATGAGGTAATGCATATAGACAATGGTTGTAGATTGTATTATTTGTGTAGACTTCTTTTTATCTTTTTCACCCTTGCTGTGGTTTACCGTGTCAGGGGTAGACTTCCTTGTCCTGTTGACTTAAGGGTTTTTGCCCTATGGCTTACTTTGGCCAATGGATATGAGTAGATAGAACACGTGCTTCATCAGAAAAGAGAACTTTAAGTGTGCTTGTAAAGTTTTGCTTTGCTCTTTTGCACTCCTGCCCTGAACCATGAGAAAAGCATGCCTTGGGTAGCTGACGAAGCTTTAACTTGGGTGCCAGAGTGACAGACACAGATTGCAGAATGGAACTCAATCCACAGCCTGAAGCAGAGGCACACCAGCTAATCACTGGCCAATGAGTGAGAAAGAATATTATTGATGGCAGCCATTGATACTCGTGGCTTGTTTGTTATGCAGCATTGTCACAATCATAGCTGACTACAGCGCAATGCAAAACATTTGGCACAAAGTCTAACACATTGTAGGTACTCGATAAATAGTTAACACTGTTATTGTTCTTATTATTACTATTGGAAAAAGGCTAGTCATTAGGCAAATATGTTTGGGGCACACTGTATATGATACCCCCCTATGGAAGATTTAGAAATGTTGTTGGCATATTAAAGACTTTGACAAGTCCTGTAGCAAAAAAAAAAAAAAAAAAAAAAAAAAA